GCCAGGGTCACACTTAGGGAAGAAATCTCAATAATGTCTTTGATTTGCTAACTTCAGACCATTTCCTCCTGATGTCAGCATGAAAACCATGACAGCATGAAGCAGGCAGTCCTTTACAGACAGCACACAAAAGAACCAAGTGGGAAAGCTCATTTTCAGAACACCCAACCTAAAAAAGAGGGAGGCAGAATATTATTTAATCTTTATTACTAAAGTCCAAGGTGACACTGACTTGTTATTAATTGATTCTGAGGTAAATGACCAACTGTTTGCCAAACAGGGACATCCAAGGGTCAGATCAGAAATATGTTGAATGAGAAGCACCAATGCGAGTAGCTTCGAAAGGTCACAAACTCCAACCTTTGCCTGAGTTCAAGCCAGCCAAAATGGGCCGATAGGATGGAGTATGGCTGGCTGTGCTTCTGGGAGGGAAAGGAAGTCACAATCTAGTCTTTGGAAATATGGAGAAGATAATTCAAGAAATATAAAATAAATCTGATAAAGTTCCCACAAGTTTAATGTCATAAACTCTGCAAATTTGAAGATAAACTTAAGCATTTATTAACTGACCTGTAATTCCAGAATTAAAACTTAGGTTATTTATTATTTTCTTCCATCAAAACTGAGAAGACCCCATATATAAAAGCAACTCCCTGGACACCACTTGAGCATGATGGGAAGTTTATTGTAAGCAATCTGTGGGTGCAACATTGTTTTCATATATAATGTTCTAGCCTGAAATATGTGCCGGCTGATATGCATGTGGGCAACTACTAAGGGATGAAAAGCAAAATAAAAAGAAATCAGTTTACAAAAAAAAATAATAATAATCTTCAGCCTAGGAAAACAATGGTAATGTTGGTACCCATTTAATGACCCCGGTTCATCGACACACAACACTTTAAGGTTGAAAAAGACAGTTGTCTCTGTCTTACAAGTGGAGAAACTGAGTCTTAGAGCGATTACAGCAATTGCCCAAATCCTCACAGAAATGAAATAGCAGAGCCAGGAATTTGAGCCTAGCTCCATCTCTCTCGGAAGTGTGTTTTTAAGCAGTGCATGGGCCTGTTCTGTTCCATCCAGTCCTGATTTTCAACTCCTCCTGTCTGTCTCAGGGCAGACTAGACCAAAATCCAGTGGCCAAATCTTTAGTCAGTGCTTCATGCCCAAATTCCAGGCTGGCATGTCCAACTGCAGTCTGGACCACATTTCCAACTGGATAGCCCTCTAACACCTCAAGTTCAATGTTTCCAAAATGTTGGAATCATCTTATCACCCTTCCTCAGCCTCAAAAAAGCTGCTCCTCCTTTGGAACTCTTTGTTTTGAATGGCAGGGCCCTGCTCTCAATTGCTAGGACTCACTCTTTGAGAAACTGCCCTTTCATTCCCTCCACACTCAGACTTCTCCCAGGACCTCTCTCTCCTCCCCGCTATTGCTCTAGCTCTGGTTGCTGTTTTCCTCACCTCTCTCCTTTTCAGTTGGTTTTCCCCATGTCTTAGCTTTCCCTTTTCCAACTCTGCATTTCCAGTCATATCTTCCCCAGATTAATCTCTAATCATGGCACTACCCTACTCAAAAACCTTTACAGTCTCCTCTGCACACCTCCCAAAATATAAAGTAGTCACCCTTGCCATTTGATGTTCCCCATGTACCCACAATGCAACATCCACAAATACTCCAACATGTGCACCATGCTTCAATCAAACTGAATGAACAACTTTTCCAGAAACATTTTATCACCTGGCACCTTTCCTGACATGACGGGCCAACCTGAAATGCTCTCCAGCCCACAAGCCTTATAACCATCTCTTCCTGCCCGTTGAGATACCCATCTTGAACCTCCACAATCCTGTGCATTCACTTTGTAATTTTGGCACCTCTATGAAAGCATCTTTCAGAATCTCTATTGTGTTTCAAAACTAATTCTATACTTATAGTATATTTCCTATAGTATAACTTCTGTGTCATTCTCATCTCTCAGACTTTTCTAGAACTCTGTATTCTTCAAACAGTGATTTGGAAACATGTACAAAAGGAATCAACTGAACAGGCCTCAAGCAAAAGCCTGATCACTGGTGCACCACTTTCTCCCAAAAGAATGGAAACAGAGAAGTGGGAGACACTGGAATTTGAATCATGAATCCATCAGATCCACCTGCAGGCTGCCTACTGGTCTCATGAGAGAACAGCAGCCTGGCCAACCTCCATCTCTTCTGAGAGTAGACCGAGGAGCAGAAACACAGAGATAAGGCTTTAAGACAGCGGTTCTCAACCTGTGGGTCACGACCCCTTTGGGGGTAGAACGACCCTTTCACAGGGGTCGCCTAAGACCATTGGAAAACAAAAAGATATTTACATTATGATTCATAACAGTAGCAAAATTACAGTTATAGAGTAGCAACGAAAATAATTTTATGGTTGGGCGTCACCACAACATGAGGAACTGTATTAAGGGGTCACAGCATTAGGAAGGTTGAGAACCGCTGCTTTAAGAACAGGTTGGCTCTAAGACAATGGCTTTTTGTGATACAAATCTTAAATCACATCAAAAATGCAATCAATAGGTGAGATCTAGAGTTGGGTCAGCTTTAACTGATTTCTAAAAAATAAAGGAAGAGGTGTGTGGTTTGGTGAAAGAACCCAGCATGGGCACAGGCCATGTCATCTTGTCTTTCCTGGCCTCGTGGTCCTCATCTGTACAAAGAGATGTGGGACCAGGTGAATTATGAGGCTTTCAGCTTAAAATGCTATGATTCTACGAATATCTTATTAGGAATAAGAAAAGTGGCTAAAGAGCAACTACTAGTTGACACAGAGAGAGGAAGAGATAGAACGAGTGCTCCAGCTGTGCTCTGGGCTTGAAACTCCTGATGTTTCCCTGATGAGACATCCATGGTTGAGCACCATAAACTGGTTCCTGTGAGATTCCTGCAAATCGGCAATCATCTTGTCATTCTGGGAACATGACCCTCTAGGGGAAGTGTTCAGCACTAACAAGCTATTTGCAGGCATTCTAGCCTTTTCATCAAGAACATCAAAGCCAATAATGCATGTAATTTGGAGCCCTGACTTGAGATCTTGTCTTATTGCTGCCACTCCGAGTGCATGTCATACTGAGACACCAAACTCTTATTTTACCACAGGAGTACTTAAGTATTTAAGTGTCCATGCAGTGGAACACTAGGCAGCAGTTAAAACAAAGGAGGTGGGTTTATATGTTCTGACATTGAAGGATGGTCATTATAGACGGTTGAATGAAGAAAGCAAACTGCAGAAGAAAATGTTAAGTGTGATCCCATTTTGTTTGCTATTTACATATGGACATATGTAAATACATATCCATGTATAAACTTAGATGAGTATAAAGAAGGATCTAAGAAAATAACCAGTAAAGTATTCATGGAGGACACCCCAGGGAATGGATAGAGGTGAGTTTCATCTTTCCCTCTGTGTTCTTCTGAGCATCTTGAATTTTTGCCAATAAGTACAACGTATTAAGCAGTTTATAATGATAACAACAACAGTATTTTTTAAAATCTGGTATTCACAACTATCTAGTCTACAAATATGTATTTTACATAGCCTAAGTGAGTACCCTTTGTCCAGGTTCCACTATCACTAAGGGCCTCACAGTCCCAATAAGACCCCATTATCTGAGGTTTCTTAAAAGGTGGGAAAGATACACCTCAAAGCAGATCTTATATTGCCAAGTTTCATTGGAGTTGTGAAAGGTATTGACACATTTTAAAAATAATACAGGAAGTGACAAGCACTCTTTTTTTAAAAAGCCCCCTGGTTCTCAGACATAGGCAAAGCTGTGAGGCCACCTCTGCTTGCTGTAAATTAAATGTCAAGAGTTTAACTGACTGTGTTTCCTAAAGCAACAGTTCCTTAGAAATGCATTATTAAGAGGGGCCATAGGTAAAATAGTGATGGAGTCACCACCTTCCTAACATACCTGTTCCAATTCCTCCCCTAGCTAGCTAGGCCTATCCCTGCTTGACATCTGAAAATAAATATGACCATAAACTCCTTTTTAAGAGTCAACTCCATCAACCCATGCTGTGGGACCAAAGTCAAATAGCTTACCAGTAAAAGAAACCAGATTGCAGAAGTTATAATTTTTCACATCAGCCATGAACATAATGCACAATTTTTATAGTGTCCCCGAGTGGGAAATGTTAGAAAGGAGTGGGGGCAATTTGAAAATCCAGTTACCCTTCAACTAAACTGAGGACCAAATAAATACAAAAAAAAAACTTGTGCACACCAGAGTAAACCAAAGGGTGTTTGTGTTACTTACAAAAGCCTCACAAGAATGTGCCCTTTGAATCCCCATGTCCTGTGATTCCTCTGCTACATGCTAGGTGATCTGCAGACCTGCAGTATGGGCACCACCTACCACAGAAGAACTTCTTAGAAATGCATAGTGTCAGGCCCCACCAAGACCTCCTGCACCCTTTGCACACAGCACTGCTGCTCCTGAGAGCTCTGGGAGTGCAGGCTTCCTTTCAGCCTGCCTGGGAGTTCCCTGGCTCCTAACAGGACTTATTTAGGCTCACGGAGATGCTAGATTAGAAACCCTACTTGGAACCCCCAATTTCATAGGGAATGAAGGAGGTCAAAAAAAGAAAGAGAAAAGAAGTCACCGCGCCAGCACTTTTTGTATGAGGCTAGAATGGGTATGGCTAGCAGGCCAGGGGCCCACCTCACCAGTCAGCTTCACCAGGAGGAGGCTGCGATGCCGAGGCGGGCTGCTCAGCCCAGGGGAGAGGGCTGCAGGATGGAGGCAGGTGTGGGCACCTCCAAGCTCAAGGGAGAGCCTTGCGTGCAGCTGGGCAAACCTGTGAGAGAAAGAGGAGAGAGGAGGGAGGGAGAGAGAGGCTGATTCTCAGCTGTCACAGAGACAGACAGGCTGACAGCAGGAGTGCCAGAAGACCAGACATCCCAGCCGGACAGACAAACAGGATGAGGCTTGGCGATATGAGGCTTGACTCACAGGTTCGCGATGCCGGCCTTGCGCACGGCGGTGGAGATGGCTTTGACCGCGGTACAGAGAGAGTTGAGCAGCTGGGTCATCTCGCCGGTGCCGCGGGCCTTCCTGCCCTCTTCCATGACAAAGCGGGTCAGGGTAACGATATTCGTATCGAAGGCCGCCTGGTCCGTCATGCTGGAGCCGGGCTGTTGCGCGCTGGGCGGCAGGTGCAGACAGGGACGAGGCAGCGAGTACGCGGTGGAAGGACAGACCACTGCGGCAGAGGGTCAGCACTGCTCAGAGCGCAACTGGCACAAGACAGATCCCCGCCGGTGTGTTCTGGGGAAGCCTATAGGCGCCAGGTCAAAGTCCCCGCCCCCGCAACACCTCCGCGCCCGGCCCCGCCCCCTCCAACGTGCGCCGCGCCCCCTCCATCCCACAGGACGTCCGGAACTTTTTCTCATCTTCCTTCCTCCTCCAGCCTCTCTGTCCCCACCTCCGGCCCTCGCCGCCACCTCCACTTCCTCCGTTGTCGCCCAGCCAGCCTCCGCGCTCCTGAGGACGGCCACTAGCATTGTGGACCGTTCCTGTGGGCCACCTGCATTATCACTGTCAGTCCCTGCAATGACCAGTCACGGAGGTAGTACACGATTTCCCCCCAACATAACACGGAAGTTCGGAAGGTTACATAACTTCAGTGTAGAACAGCTGGTAACTGCAGAGGCTCTGACAGCTGCCGTTCCCTTCTCTGCGGTCGCCACCTCCCCCACCCTTATAACCATCTCTTCCTGCCCGTTGAGATACCCATCTTGAACCGAGCCCAGTAGGTTAGGAAGGCTAGCCTCATTTGGAAGGAGCTTCCATATTGGCCACTGTGAATAGGAGGGATGGCACCAACCGCCCTCTATGGGNCCCCCTGCTCTGTGTCCTGTCCATCCCTGTTTGGCCTGTCAGCTGGCTCTTCTGGCAACCTCAGGAGAAGAGGATTTCCCTGTCCCTCACCTGTCTGATGGTCCATGCCTGGATCCTTAGTTCAGGCCTCTTCTCAAGATTCCTGTAATTCTAGAGCAACTGGGGAGACCTTAGTTTCCAGTATCTGCGTTTTGCAGAGAAAACAGTGGCAGACACAGGGAAGTGTCTCCAAGATACTACACTGAGGCCAGTGGCTCAGTAGCCCATATCCTGACCATCACTTTGTGGCCACAGTGCTGTTGTCCTAAGGCGGTTCGGGCACTGATTCATGGAACGGTATTTATTGAGCACCTACTATGTGACAGGCACTGTCCTATGCACTGGGGATAGAGCCTGAATAAAAGATAAAACACCTGCCTTCTTTGATCTTTTTAACAGAGAGACAATAAAAATTAAACAAATAAGTTAGAATGTTAGATGAACCATAAGTGATACAGAGAAAAAAGAAATAGGGGATTTTGCAGAGGAGGGGTGGATTGTTAAATAGAGGAGTCAGGGAAAACTTCACTAAGAACGTGACAGTTGAGCAAAGAGCTGAAGGATGCGAGGCAGGAGCTGGTGGAGATATTTCCCAGAGATATAGGTCCTAAGGTGCACAGGCCCTGAGGTGAGATTGTCGGGGGCATGTTTGAGGAGTGGCTTGGAGACCAGTGGAGCTGGAGTAGAGCTACCCAGGGGTGAGATGGAGGAGATAAGATCCTGGAGGGGAGGGAGCGGGTAGGGGTGAGGCCTGGAGGATCCAGTGAGGTTTGACTTAGACTAGAAGGAAACCACTAGAGAATTTGCAGTAGAGGAAAGGCATGATCTGCCCTTTTGTCTTCATACTCTGGCTACTGGGTTAAATTAGATTGAAGAGAGAAGGCAGTTGCTCTTGAGGTTACTGAGAGATGGTGATGCAGGAAGGGAGCAGTGGGGGTGGTAAGAACTGGCTGAATTCTGGATTGAAGGTAAAGCTGACTAAGATTTGTTGACAGATGAGATGTGAGAAAGGGCAGTTCAGGATGATTCTAAGGGTTGGAGCCTGAGCAATTGAAAGGGTGGAGTGGCCTTCAGCTAGGAAGACTAGGAAGGGAGTACTTTGGGGGCAGGGTTGAAGATTAAGAATTAATTATGGGATACACTACATTTGGAATGCCTAGTTGACATCCAAGGGAATGTCAACTACAGTTGGATTTGTGAGTCTCGAATTCAGAGAAGTCCACACTGGAGATATAAATTGGAAAAGCTCACTGATGAATGGTATTTGGAGCCATGAGACTGAAAGGGATAAATCGCCAAGGAAGTGAGGGGTGGGCTGAAAGCCAAGAGGTGTGGCATCCAGGAGCCAAGTAAGAATGTGAGTCAAGGAGCAGGGCTGACTCTTGTGCCAAATGCTGTAGATAGGTCCAGCAAGATGACACCTGAAAACTGACTACTGGATTCAATCATGGGGACCTGGCTGGTGTGTTGATGCTGGTTCCCAGGATTGTCAGATGGGGACCTCTGGATGAGGGCAAGTGGTGGTACCACCAGGAAAGATGGTTACTGTCTCTTCATAGCCCAAGGGGGCAATGATACCACTGCAGAGAGAGCAGACCTTTTAAGGGTCCACTTAACTCTTTGCACCTCTGGCAGCATTTTACGGGAACTGCTGCAGAGGGTTAAAGGGGAGAAGGAAGCCTTGGAAGAGAAATATTTCCTTAACTATAAAATCTGAAATGTGATGACGTATTTTTGGCCTTCCAACTAGTTATAGCAGCTCTGTTCAAGAGTTTGTCCCTTTATGTGTCAGACATTTAGTCCCTCAAGATCTCAGGTCAGCCAGCACTGAAACAGTTGACTGGTCCAACCCGCCCCCCTGAAGTTTAATCCCTTTGAAACCATCCCTGGTAAGAGGTGAAAAGCTCAGGACTGGGGTTGGGCAGGCCTGCTAGATTCCCAGCTGCAGCCCTCACCAGCCTAGAGACCTCGGTCATTACACAACCTCCTGAATCCCAGCTTGTTCATCCGTGAAGTGGGATTATTGTTCTAGCTGGCAGGAGTGTCACGAGCATGACGTGAGATGATGTTGGCAGAGTGCTCAGCTCTGGGCTGGACACGGGACACACCAAATACAAGAAACAGACCTCTGTCTACCTTAGTTATTGATGTTTGTCACCCACCGGGATGGGAAACCCAGCATCCACAAGGCAAACCATCCCCTTAAGAATAGGCGACTTTGCATGGTGGTCAAGTACACAGGCTCTGGAACTAGAAGTCCTGGTTTGGAGCCCTGGCCTTGCCCCTTACTGGCGGTGTGGGTCTATGCAAGTTACTGACCTTGCTGGGCAACAATTCACGCATGTGAATGGGTCTAAAAATTGTGGCCACCTCAAGCAGATTATACAAGTGATGCAGATGAATTGTTTAAGAGCGATGCCCAGGGCCAGCCGAGAGGCACGTTGGTTAAGAGCTGGCCTGGGACACCAGAGGGCCCCAGTTCATTTCCACATATGAGGGCCAGTGACACTGCCCTCTACAGCTAAGATGCTGAACAACAGCTCAACCTGGAGCTGGGCTGCCATGAGACACTGGTGGCGGCATAGGCTGCAGCCCCTGCTGCAGTGGGTTGCCATGGGCTACCGTGTGTAGCCAGCAGCCAGCGTGAGCAGCCAGCAGCCGCTGTGAGCAGCTGTCCAGAAGCCGGCGACTGATCTGCCTCACCCGGGAAGAGTGCAATGATGATGCCAACTATGGGCCAGTGAAGCGACGTCCTCCACAACTAAACTGAAGAACAAAAGGACAGCAACTTGTCTGTTCCCCTTCCCCCAATTCCCCAGCGCTGTTCCCATCCCCCAATTCCCCAATTTAAAAAAAAAAAAAGAGCCATGCCCCATACATTCTATATGTTTCTTTCATTATATGGATAGTGTCAACTGTTATTTTTATCTGAACAGAAGAAAGAAAGTTCCCTTACTATCAAAAAGGGGCTGAAGGCACATGGTCATGGATAGTCTTTGCCTGTATTTACCTGTTGTGCAATTATGTCTCCTCCATCATGTGGGTTGATTGTGATTAGCTCTTTTCAGGGTCAAAATGCATAAATTCATCACCTGGGTATTAGCCAGAGAAGGAGGAAGGTGCTGGACCAGAGGAAGGCGGGCACCTCCACACATAAGATCTCTCCGCTCACCTCCACCCACCCCCACTGCACAGTTGCTACTTGCCGGCTACAATGATCTCCCCTCCTCTCTCATCACAAAACACACTCCAATTCGCACAATAGTGCAAGTTTTGAGTACTGTAGTACTCATGTTGTAACAGCTCTGTCCTGTGAAGAAATAGCGATCACCCTTTCCTCACTGGGCTCCGACCCTAGGAGGCAAGCTCTGGTTTGTGCCAGAGACAGGAAGTTGAGAAGTAAGTTGGAATGATCACTCACCACCCCACTCCCACCCCTGAACCCAGGGCACTTCTGCTTACTCTTCCCCCGGAGGGTGGTTAGTGAATGTGACGGAGAAAGAAGTACTAAGCGGCTGTCCACAAGAGGGATGGTAGCAGCCCTTTCTTAGGTGACTCCCCAGCTCCTGTGGCCTCAGTGGCCTCATGCCAGTAATGGAAATAGGACCTGTAACCTCTGAAGCAGCAGAAGCTAAACAGTCAAGCTGTGGAGCTAACACCTATTCAGCACCTGTTAAATGGCCAGCACTTGCTTTAAATATTTTCGCTGCAATGTTCGTCTATAGCCGAACAATATTTCCATGTCGTGACTGCATTTGACTTTACCCCACAAGCTCAGTGCTCCAGAAAGGAAATTTAGGAAACCAGATGTATATTTTTCTATACTTTTTGTGTTTATCAAGAATGAATAACAATAGGAAATTTTTATACTTGAAAATAATCATTTATTTTAATAAAATGTAGCACTTTAACTGCATTTGCAAAACCTGGATTTCTGACACATTTTGGAGAACAAACTTGAAATCAATTAACACAGTGAAAAGGTTAACCAACACAGCACCCAGTGATGTGGCTTGTACTCATGCTCCTGTCTTTACCGATGAAGGAACTGAGGATTTGGAAGGTCAAAGAACTTGTCCGAAGCCTGTGGCCAGCCAGGAAATGGCAGAGGCAAGACTCAGATCCTCGTCCCCACATTGGCACTGGGCTGCTGGTTCCCTGCTGGGCGGCAGTGGCCTCCATGGTGAGGCTCTGAGCCTGACTGTAGCTTCAAAAAAAATCTGCTTTCTGAATTGTCACCCATTAGCTCTAGAGCTACTTCTTAAGCCTGTGTTCATTCATTTTTTTCACTCAACAAATAGTTATTGAGCACCGGCTGTGTGCCAAAATCATATCACATGCTGAGGTTATGACAGAGGGGTATAAGTCCTGGCTCCCTTGCCCCAACTCAGGACAACT